GGGCCTGGAGTACATCCTCAATGCACCGCCGCGCAATGGTATCGTCACAGGAGTCTGATGGGATGTTGCGGTCCCAAGCCTCCGTGTGTGCCTTGACGTCTGCGTCCATTAGCTGTGGCCCGTCCGCGCAGAGCTGCCCATCCAAGACATCCGCCATCGTTCTTTTCGCAGAGGAGGGAAGGAGACATGCTGATGACGCCATCATGTTAATTCCCGCCGCTGGACGGATGGTCGCTTGCGCCAGCTCGATTCCGGCGACAGGGGCCGGTCCTGCTACCGCCTGTGGCCCCTCACGGACGAGAAAGGACACACCGCCGCCACGACAGTTGCGAGCAGTCCCGTGGTGCTGGAACCCGGCAGGCTGAAACTAGTGGCTTCAGGGTGGGGGACGTCTCCGTCTCACGCATCACACAAAAAAACACGTTCTCGTCATGCAACTTCATGCTCAGCGCCAGACGTTTCGCCAGAGTGAGGCCGGCGGCGTTCCTCCGCAACGCCCGCAGACAGGGGCAGGGATTCTCTTCCACATCTCCATTCAGAAGCAACATGCTGCGGATGTTGCCGCTGACGGCACAGCATCACTTGCCCCCAAGCACCATGGGGCTGTGCGGTACCCCAATAATACGCGGCTGGCGAGGGCGCTGGTTGATGCTGTCGGCGCTGCGCCAGCAATAATTCCATGAGAGAAAATTGCTGGCTCTTTTCCTCCCTGGCAATACGGGGTGCGGGAGCGCGGCGCCACGGTGAAGCAGCCGGCACTGCCGTGCGCACAGCTCCTGCTGGCATTCACAGCTACGGGGCTCATCCCGAAGATTTTGAATGGCGAAGCGTGAACGGCAGCTCCGATGCAAAGGGTTACTTTACCCTTTCTTTCTCTTTTCTTTACGAGTGCGGAGCTTTTTCTTTAACGGCGGGGATAAACGGGGGCGCGGGGTTGGCGTTTTACTGAAGATAGGGAGGATAAGCACATACCGGTGGACATTAACACGTATGGCAGCATTGGCTCATCTTTAGGGACGGAAAGAGGGATAAAGAAAAAAAAAATGACGGGGCGTTTCCACGGGCTTGTTTGTAACTCATTACAATTTTCTTTTTTCAGAGGCCTTTTAAAAGTGGTACAACATGTTTTTTGCCTTTTCGAACTTGAGCGGAGTCTCTTTTTCAATTTACGGTAAAAGCGAAGATTGTTGCCTCTCTC